CGCTCCCGCGGGCAGGTGGTGCGCATCTTGGCGTGTTCAGGTCGTCTCCGCCGGGGCACTCATCCCCACGGGGCTTTTGCAGACTGCAGCCTGTGCAGAGCAAAACTGCAGATTCATTACAGGGACGTGCCCTGACACTCGGAACCAGTGCTTGTGATTCCTGCGCGGATCCAAATCTCCCTCCGAGTGGATAACCGTTCTTCCTAGCGGTACATTTTTGTAGACTTCTGCCCTTCCTAGGTTGAATGAGCATGTTCTCTGTTTATCTTATTTGGCTGTAGTTTGCCAGAACAACCTTGTTTTTATTATACCTGGCACTTGTAAGCTCTGATTTAAAATTGTTGGGGTATTTACATAAAGGCGAGGGACAATTTAAAAAAAGAAGATTGGCTATTGAACATCATGGTGTAGTGATTGTCAAATACTGTATTAATTGTCGAAATACTAAAACGCCGAATCCTTGCTTCGTTCTTAGTAAGGGCAGCGATGTGACGGGGCTCTTTAAACTAGTTCACCCAATGGTGTTAACGCCCCCACCTCCCTCCCCGCCAGCATCTGCACCGCACAAGTTCTTCGGGCTTGCAGTCATGATTAGACTCGCATGTGAAAGTATTTTAAAGGCTTGGTAACTTGACCTTGGTTTTATGAGCGTTTTAATTCTCCTGCCCTATAAAAGTGAACTTAAAATATCTAATAACCTACATTTAATTATATCTGTTTTTCTTGTTAGTTACTTCCTAAATTGATTCATATGAGGCTTGTTGCCAAGATAATACTATTTCTCCCAATTTACGTGATCTTTTTTTCTTCCCAAAGCATTGGGAGAACTGCCACTAAAATTCTCAATAGGGGTAGACTCTCAGGCTCAAGTAAGTAGCTACTTGGTTGCAGTATCAGGGCAGAAATTCCGATTTCTGGATTCTGAGGTTCTTCAAGTAAATAAAATAAAAATTTTTTAATCCTCACCTGAGGATGTTTTTATTGATTTGAGGGAGAGAGGGGAATAAGAGGGGAGAGAGAGAGAGAGAAACATCGTTTGAGAGAGAGACATCCATCAGCTGCTGCTTGCCCTCTATTGGGGGTCTATCCTGCAACTGGGCATGTGCCCTGACCCTTTGGTGCATGGGACGAAGCTCAACCGAGCCACACTGGCCAGGGCTTTAGTGATTGTTCCACTTATTCATACATCCATTGGTTGATTCTTGTAAGTCCCCTGACCAGACTGAACCCACAATCTTGGCCAATCAGGATGACACTCCAACCACCTGAGCTACCTATCCAGGGCATTGATCAAAGTGCATTGCTTTTAGGATATGTATCTCTTAAAAACTTATAGCAATTCATCCTCCTTGTGAAATTGCAGAGAAAGTAAAAAGTTCATATTGTTCCTTTAATCGTGTAGTTTGCCTTTTTTTTTCTTACTGTTAAACATAAGCATTTTTTCTGTATCATTAAATAATCGAAGAAATATTTGTAGTGACTAATGTAATCTACGTTAACTGTGGTAATTAATATTTGGACCAGCCAGATTCTTGCCATTATAATTAATCTTCAGTAAAAATATTTGTGCATTTCATATCCTTTCCTTAGAATAGAACCATTGTGAAGCTTAGATGTTCTGAGGTACTCCATCTTGGCTAACAAGTCCTGATATGGAATAAACTTAAAACTGAGATGTTATCAGCCTAAAATAAATGTAAATAAGCAAATTACTTTAATCATGCTTTTTACTCTTGATTCAGTAGCCTAACCTGGTGGACCTTACATCTTTTATTATTTTCAGAGCATTGCTGAGGTTTTTCGATGTTTCATCTGTATGGAGAAATTGCGGGATGCACGCCTGTGTCCTCATTGCTCCAAGCTTTGTTGTTTCAGCTGTATCAGGGTAAGCTGTATTTTTCTTTCCACATGCATTTAGCATATGTAGGATATATTGGTAAATAAAATAGTAAAAATTAATCATTTCCTTTATCTTTTCATTTTAGATTTTGTGTCCTTTTAAAAAAATGTCTTCAATGAATGTTCCTTAATAGGGAGACCATCAGTGTATGTTGCTTAGTACTGTGGAGATGAATAATCGTCAAATGATAACTGCCATGAAATGTCTGGAAACCAAAATTCACTAAAATTCTAATATATTTACATTATTAAATCATTGCACATTTAACAAGTACTTACAAATGGCTGGCCTGCATTGTGTTTGAAATTGAGGGATATGAAGATAAATGACAAAGTGCCCTGAAGGAACTTAAATCTAATAAAGAGAATAGACTTTGTGTACTGTCATCAAGAGACACTAACAAAATGTTGTGAGACCCAGAGGAGGGAGAGTTTATACTTGTTTGGCTATGTTTTTAGACTAGATCTTCAATTATCTAGGTACACTTAGTTGATTCTGTCTTACTACCTGTTTTTTTGTGTGTGTTTTTTAATTTTTTTGTTTGTTTTCTGCCCCCTTTTTTTGTCCCCATAATTCTTTTTTTTTTAATCCCTTCTTGATTTTTAGCATAAGTAGCTCTTTATGTTTGCCTACAATTATTGACTTTGTTTTGTCTTAAATTTTGCACACTTTTAAAATCGGGTATAATTTACATAAAATAAACTACACATATTTAAAGTGTACAGTTTGATAGGTTTTGACAAATGTATATACCTCAGAAACCATCACCATGGTCAAGATAGTGAAAATATCTGCAATCCCCCAGATTCTTTGTATCTCTGGATAAAGTCTCCTGCTTATCTGGTTCCCAGGCAACCATTGATCTGCTTTCTGTCACTATAGATATGTGCGGATTTTCTGGAATTTTTTACAAGTGGAATTTTATAATATATACTCTTATGTATCTGTTTTTTTTATTCAAAATTATTTTGATATTTATCTATGTCAAGTGTTTAAATAGTGTTCCTTTTTACTGCGCAGTAATAGCATTGCATTGTATGCATATGCCATAATTTGTTTATCCATTCACGTTTTATTGTTTTAAATGAGGTATAATTGACATTTAAAACATTATATTAGTTTCAGATGTGCAGCATATTTCTACATTCAGCATTTGTATGTATTTGTATATGTTGCAAAATGATGACTACACTAACTAGTTAACATCCATCACTATATGCAGTTACAAAAATTTTTTTTCTTATGATGAGGACGCTTAAGATCTATTCTCTTAGCAATTTACAAATATGTAGTACATATTATTAACCATACTATTAACCATAGTTATGGTTATATGTTAATAATATTATCATTATTATTATAATATTATCATTATTATTATTAACATATAGTCACCATACTGTACACATTCACTTGTTGATGGATACATGGGTTGCTTCTAGTTTTTGGCATTTACATAGAGCTGTGAGCATTTATATAAAAGTGTTTGAATGAACTTCAGTTTTCATTTCTCTTGGGTAAATAATTAGGAATGGAGTATCTAGATCATAAGGTAGATGTTTAACTGTTTAACATATTGTCAGACTGTCTTCTAACATATTGTCAGACTTTATCATTTTATGTTCTTGCTGGTATGTATGAGAGTGCTAATTCCATATTAATGCCAACACTTGGTGTGTTCAGTCTTGAATTTTAGTAATGGTACCTCAACTTTCCCCTTAAGATCAGGAAAAAGACAAGGTTGCCTGCTTTCATTACTTCTATCCATTACCTTCTCTCCCAACCCTTAGTAACTACCATTCTTTAAGTTCCTATGAATGTGACTAGTTAAGTACCTCATATAAACCCAATTACACAATATTTTTTTTTTTAATACTTATTTCTGGGCTCTCTATTGGTCTCTCAGTCTTCATGCCAGTACAAACCTGTTTTGATTACTATGGCTTTGTTGTAAATTGAAATCAGGAAATTCAAGATAGTTTTGGTTATTTAGGGTCCCTTGTGATTATTTTTGAATTTTAGATCGGGTTTTTCTACTTCTGAAAAAAGCACCATTGTGATTTTGATAGGAATTGCATTGATTCTGTAGATTGCTTTTGGTAGTATCGCCATCTTAATATTACTTTTTTTAATCCATGAATTTGGGATGTCTTTCTAGTTATTTAGGACTTATTTAATTTCAGCAATATTTTGTAGTTTTCCACATACAGTTTTTTTCAATTCCTTGGTTAAATTTATTCCTACATATTTTACTCTTTTTTTTTTTACTTTTGAATATAGTTTTACTAAAGCATAAGTCATTTCAAAGCAAAAGTCGTTTATGTCAATTCTAACATATAATACATTTAAGTCATAATATGAATTTAAATTTATATTTGTGTATTTCACTGTAGTGCTGTGACAACAAAATGACACCTGTGTACCAGAGCATAAACACATCATATTTTATTCTTTATGATGCTATTGTAATGTATTGTTTCCTTCATTTTCTCCTTGGAGTCTTTGCTAGTGTATAGAAATAAAAGTGTTTTATGGGTGTTGATTTGTGTATCCTGCAACTTTGGTGAATTCATTAGCTTTAACTTAAGTTTCTTCTGAAATCTAGGATTGTCTACATATCTGATCATGTGTCATCATAAACATAATTTTATTTCTTTTCCATTTTGGATGCTTTATGTTTCTCTTTTCTTCCTTAATTGCTCTGGCTGAAATTTTTAGTATGTTGAATAGAAGTGCTGAAAGCAGGCATCCTTGTCTTTTCCCTGGTCTTAACAGAAAAGTTTTCCATCTTTAACCCCTTCCCCAACAATTTTTTTGTTAAAAACGTTCCTTTTTCAGACTAATTTTTTTATTTTGGTTCTATATAGTATTTTTGATGCTGGTTATGAAAACAGTTTGTAATTATTTTTTATTCCCATTTTTGTGGTTAAGAATAGTATTTCCTCAGAAAGTTTCTAGCTGACTCTATCCACTGAGCCAAACCAGTTATGGCATGCTGTGAGTTTTTAAAATAAGGATTTTAGCCCTAGCTGGCTTGGCTCTGTGGATAGAGAGAGCATCGGCCTGCAGACTGAAGGGTCCCAGGTTCGATTCTAGCCAAGGGCACATGCCAGGTTGCAGGCTCAATCCTCAGTAAGGGTGTGCAGGAGGCAGCCAATCTGATCCTCTCTCATCATTGATGTTTCCCTCTTTTTGTCTCTGCCCTTATCTTCCACTCTCTCTAAAAATCAATGAAAAAATACCCTCGGGTGAGGATTAACAATCACAATAAAATAAGGACTTTATCAGTTGAGAAAGTTCCCTCCTATTCCTATTTCTTGAGTGTTTTTATCATGAAAGGATATTGGATTTAGTCAGATGCCTTTTTTCCTTTGTTTTATTAATGTGATATATTACACTAACTGATTTTTATATGTTGAACTGTCCTTGCATTCCAGGAATAAATCACTTGGTCATGGCGTATAATCAAGAAAACTTGAGCTCAGTCACTTGTCTATTTCATGTGGTTAATAAGTGCTAAAACTAGGAATCAGACTGAGGTCTGAATACTGTCTAAAGCTTGTGTTTCCATTTAATGAGGGAGAGAAATCAGTTCTTCAGTTGATTGTGAAGGAATTACTATAAAGATGTTTCTTTAATGTTTTTGGGGCATTAATATTGTTCACTGGTTTTTACCTTGAGTTTTGGTTTGGAAGAAACATTGTTTCCCCCAAAGTATGAAAATTGCCATAGTGATTAAGTTAGATTGTGTAATATGTACAAGGTAAAAATGCTACATATATATAGAGAAGGGAAAGGTCACTAGTTTGGGATAGGCAGGAAAGTTTTATGGTTATAACCAATGGATATTCTTATGTGAGAGCGCATAGAGAGAGGGACTATAATAGCAAATAGACAGTCATGTAGTCAAGAGTGGTATATATTGCAACAATAGCCCTTTTGGATGGGAGAAGTATATTAAAAAAATATATTGGTCCCAACCTTTATAGAGCTTATTGTGAAGCAGGGGAGGGGAGACTACAACCACAGTGAAGGGGGAAGTATAGGTTGCTGTGGTAGAGCATGGCACTGGTATCTAAAATAGTCTATAGAGCAAGCATGTCAAACTCTTGGCCCAGGGGCCGCATGTGGCCCACAATGAATATTTTTGTGGCCCAGCCAATATAATGGTATGTAAGAAACATTCTAATAAAAATTTCATAACTTGATTTTTATAATATCCTGTTATACATAATCCTATCTAATAAAAGAGAAACATGGTAATTGGCGTACGACCGTTACCCTTCCCAAGGCTCATCAGGGTGATATGCAAATTAACTGCCAGCCAAGATGGCGGCTGGCAGCTAGGCAGCTTAAACTGAACATGAGGCTTGCTTGCTTCCGTGACGGAGGACTGCA